ACCACATTAGTTACAGGTCTCTGGGAAAACTCAACAACAAATGGTGGTTGAGGGGTGTCATCATAATCATTAACCATGGGTAGATCTGCAGGGAGACCTGGGTCATTTACTGATAAATCAATCTGTTTACCTGCAGCTGGACGTAGTTCTGACCGATGTATTTGTTTCAGAGGTCCTTCTGCCTCCGCTGGGCTGATGGTATACACTGGCCCTCCATTTTGTGGACAGCGCACAATCTTGTACGGCACAGAGCTCCAGTGGTCCTGTATCTTATGCCGTCCTCTGTGGCTGTGGTCCCGGCAGTAGACTAGCTGTCCAGGCTGCAAAGCATCTGTTTTGACCTTGTTGTTGTGTTGTTTTGCTCGTCGGTCAGCAGCAGCTCGAAGCCGCTGCCTCGCTCCCAGGTAAATGCAGGCCAAGTTGTCCCGATGGACTGCGGTCCACTCGTCTGCTGTCAGCGCCTCCGGCTGTCCTGTGACACTCAACACACAATCAATAGGCAGCCGTGGTTCTTGTCCAAACATCAACATATGTGGTGAATATCCTGTGGATTGATGTTTTGTGGTGTTATAAGCAAATATTACTTGAGGCAGGTGCACTGTCCACTGCCTTTTCTTTTCCTGTGGCAGGGTCCGGAGCAGGTCGTGGAGGGTCCTGTTAAACCGTTCACATTGGCCATTACCTTGAGGTCTGTATGGTGTCGTCCTAGTTTTTGTGATGTTGTAAACGTGACACAACTCCTGTATCACTTTAGCCTCAAAACAACGTCCTTGGTCAGAATGTATCTGGCGAGGGACTCCAAAAACATAGAACCAATGTCTAACTAAAGCCTCAGCTACTGCTGCCGCTGTTTGGTTTCTAGTTGGAATGGCCTGTACATATTTTGAAAACACATCGGTCATGATTAAGATGTTTTCCCGGCCATCAGATGCGGGCTCTAGAACAGTAAAATCTATAGCCAAAATGTCATTAGGCTTAGAGGCTGTCAGGTGGCCCATAAAGCTCCGTGGTTGAGTATGAACATCTTTGGCCAATGTACAGCGTTCACAAGCTCTGCAGTACTCCTCTATTGTGTTGTTCATACCTGGCCAGTAGCATCTCCTCCTAATGAGATCTGTAGTCCGTTCCACACCTTGGTGGCCATGGTTGTCATGAAGACTGAGAAGGACATCCCCTTGCAGTTTTTGTGGCAATAGTAGCTGATTCCAAGCTGGCCCCCCTTCCGGTGACTCCACCTGTCGAAAAAGAATACCATCTTTTTCAATTACCCGATCCCATTGCTTCAAGAGCTTCAGGAGCATGGGCGACGCCATCTTTCTCTCATCCTTATTTGGTTGTCGTCGTCTGTCCCAGAAGAAGCGAAAGTCCCGGATCAGTGGGTCTTCTGCCTNAGTCCATGTGGACACAAAGGATCAAGAGAGTGTGACTCCTAGAGCCACACCTGTATTAATCAGTCTCTGTGTCTTTCTGATTGGTCTCTGCTGCTTCTTCTCTGTCCTCTGCTGTCTCCTCTGCTCTCTACTGCCTCCTCTCTGCTGCTTCCTCATGACCTACTGCTACATTCAGGTGAGAGGATAACTTGGAGAAGCATCACTGAAGTATTAGCAACAACTAAAACAGTGAACAAAATCATCAGGAAATAACCATTGAAAGTCAATCAAAAAGAAGTTGTGCAAAAATAAAAATTTACATAAGAAACCAAAACAGATATAAACAGCCCATAATTAAACAATGAAATAGAGGTTTTTGCATTTTTCCTGTTACATCATCCAGACAGTATAGTGTGTATATAAATGTACAAAATAACACTCCTCAATCAAATTTTACCTTAATGTAACATGAACGTCCTTGGAGTGACCAGCAGCTTTCCTTCCACAAGGTATGCAGCAAGAGGGGTGAAGTCATTCAGACTGTCAGGATCAACAACAACAGTAACTGCAGGGTCTCTTTTGGCAAGCTGGAAACACCTCATATTTTATATAGTGAACAAATCAATGCGATATGCATCAGATGTAATGCAAGCCGCTTATATCTACAGTGCTCATGACTTTAAAAAAAACCTGATTAATGTTTGTTTTTATGTATCATTAAATAATTAACAAAATAATGACAAATGCCCATTTCAAGTTCAGACATCCCAAAAAACCTTGGTTTGC